GGCTCCAACATGTAAGGCTGKACGGACAAGTCTTCCAATGTTGACGCCTTTTATTTAATTTGTAAATAAAAAGTTTATATGCTGCTATATTGTAAACAAACCATCTATCAAAGAATGAACTGGGAAGCTGGAGGGGGCGGGGCATGAAGCCTCTTTTTTTGCATTTAAAGAAGCAGCCTCAAAACGAGTTGTTCGGAGACACACCTCAGAAAAGAAAGAGGGGCTTGTGGAGTTACACTAAGGAGGACTTCAGAGCAAAGCAGTTCCACTTCATATAAACCCCAACTAAATGGTTTAAATGTGAAAAAGAAGGACTTAACGCATGTTTCTTTTAAATCTGAAACACCCACAGTACAAAGTCATTGTGACTTTATGAATATAAATATTTGAAGGTAATACTTATCTTCACACAATCTGTGCGACAACTGTGCATAAACTAAAAGGTTTTGCAATAAACTACAGAGACATGCTGCTGGAAACTCAGAAGTGTCAAAGTTTCATGARTGATCATTTCTCTTTCTCTTTGACCTTTAGGTCTCAGCACAATTAACTTCAACCCATTTTAAAATCCTTAAAGTAAAACACAATAGCTGTTTCCCATGTGAAAATCTTCATTATAGGGAACAGTGCATGTGATGCACGTTGTGTAAAACAGGTGACTCGGTGGGATTCTCAGCTTTGTGTTTCTGTTCTCAGATGGAAGTGAAAATTCAAAGGAAATGTTTCTGCTTTACAGGATGGTTCCCTGAAATGCAAATTCTCAACGAGACAAACTCCTGTTGTGTGTCTTCAGGACTGGCCCTAGACAATTTGGCGCCCAAGGCAAGATTTCAGGTGGCGCCCTTTGTGCAGTTTTCTAAATCTCACTACCAGATTACTGTACATACATTTACATACCAAATGAAAAGAACTTGTCTTTGATATTAGTTTTTTTATCTTTAGAAACCAGGTTGTCCAATTAAAACAATTAACAATATAATTAATTTGAAACAGATTACCAGAAATCTACCACATACCCACCAACATCTGCTGACAGCAATGAGGAACACCTGTTCATGTCAACCAGCAGCTGTGGAGTAAAGCAGTTCTAGGRGGGTCCAGKGGTAGACTCCTCTGGACATTTTTGTAAAAGATCTTTTCAAARCTATACATTTTCCAGTCATTTTAAAAGCCTTTTATTAGATTCTTGGGATTGATAAAACAATATAAAATCAGTATTGTAAGAAGGTAGAACACTGAAAACCAAACTTCAATTTGAACTTTATTTTAGATCAAAACTAAAACTTTCATTGTCTTTATTTTGTTTTCTATTTACACACTGAGCACCAGTAGTCTTACATCATATGATACTTTCATCATGAAATATCCTCTGCATCATATAACACCTCTTGTAGTAACAGAGCAGCTGAGAAACCCACAGAACAAGTTGCCTTTATAAACCTGAGGAACCAGTGATTATTCTACAAACTATAACAATACTCTAATAAAGTTGTAAAATATATATTTTTTCCTCCTCCATTTGTGCCACCCCCTGGATGGATGGCACCCTTAACATTTGCCTATACTGCCTATGCCACAGGTCAGCCCTGAGTGTTTTAATCAGATAAAGTCCTGATTTCTGTTTGAGAAACCACAGCCTTGACTGATAGAAGAATGTCTGCATTATAATAAAACAATATTCATAGCTGAAATAATAAGAAATTAGATAATCATTTATCTGTGATGAAGTTTCCTATATTTAACAGGATGTTCTGCAGACTTAATTATTGCTACAGAAAGATAACCTGATGGTGTCTGAGTTCCTTTGTGATCACAGACTTTGAGTGAAATCAATAAAATGAAAGGTTTTGTGGAAAACCAGACAAGAAGCATTAAAGGCCGTCCTCCAATCTTACTGATTATTTTTGTTAGCTTAGCAACCTAAATGTTTCTGCTGTTCTTCAAGCAGTTTTTACATGTATAAAAGCACAAAGAGTCTCATCAGTCTGAGCTTTATGGCGACTCAGGATGAAGATGAAGTACACCTGAGAGAAAAAAGAGAAATGAGTACAAAACGATAGAGCTGTGTAACTACACTGAGGTTACCTCAGAGCAGTTTCACCCTCAGAACAGACACAGCTTTTCCTGTGCCAACCTCAAACGTCACAGGAGCAACTCATTTTACACAAAAAAATAAAAAAAAAACATCACACAGCACACAGAGGGGGACGATAAGAGGAAGCTGACAGGGGAGTGACTGAGTCTGTCGGGACATCTTTACCAAAGAGTTTGTCTGCTTCGTTTCAGTCATCAGAGACAGGAATGAGGTGGTGGAGCAGCTGCTGAAGCTTAGTGACGACCTGATGGAGTCTGCTTCTGGGAGCAGAGTGGAGGAGCGGCCTCCAACACTGCCGGTCAAACTGCGCAGGTAAKACCAAACATTTAAGTTTGTATTAGGATGCTGGTATATCTAATTACAAACAGTTGCACAAATGGTAATTGCATTACCAAATTTAAAAAAACAAACATTTTTTTCCTCCAAACTTTCTGAAAACAGAAAGTAGAAAAAGAGTAGGGAAAGAACATGAGATCTGTGAGGATAAAAGCTTCTCTGCTGTCCTTCAGGCACTCCAGTAGGGATTCTGACCCTGTGTTCCTCCAGCGCCAGACCTCAGAACTCAGCGATGTTTTCCCTGAACCCACTGACTGCCACGCAGCTCAGTGCCCCATCCACCAGCGCTACGGTAAGTCCTGCACAGTGGTGCCACTTTGAACATCATTTGATGCGTTGCTTTAACGCTGCTGCAGAGGCCACGGTTCATGACTAACATGCAGCTCATAGTGATCAGGAAGAAAAGAGGCGTGGTCCTCTCCGTTCATGAGAACTGAAGAGAGGAAGTAACTGAAATGTTTGACTTTCAGTAAAACCCTGGGTTCTCTTTAAACAGGTGACGGGCAGATGAACAGTTCTGCAGAACTGTCAGGAGGTGGAAGCTAATGTCTCTTCCTTTGCAACTCCATCTAAAACAACAATGATTCACAAAATGTAAATAAAAACAAAATGATTTGCAAATCAGTTAACTTTATATTGGATTCATGTTTGATTAGCATATGATGCTAATGACATGCTTTCATTGGGGGCATAAATGTGACCGTGATGCATCACTTAATATCTTACATCTATATTCCTTCAAAATACAAATCACCTTTGGAGGTTGTGATAAAATGTTTGTCAGAGATCAAATAAATTGGTCTAAAGCAGGACTTCTCAAACTTTTCGGGTCTGGAGAGGAAAATTTCTAAGGACTCCCTCAAAAAACTCATCTAATCTGCAGTTGTTTTAACCATTTAATGTCATGGAAATAATAGGGGGATTTTTTGTGAAGTATGTTGACATATTGGCCCCCATTTATGTATTTTCACTTTTTTAAATGCTAAGAAATAATTAATCATTTATTGTAATCTATTTTGCTGAACCCCAAGCTACAGTTTACAGACCCCTGGAGATCCTTGGACCCCATTTTGAGAACCTCTGGTCTAAAGTTTCTGCTCTTTAATAGTTTGTATTTTCTGTCTCAGTGCACCAAATGTGTAGTTGACAGGTGATGACTGCTGCTGCTTCAGTCACATTATAAATTGCATGGGTTAAACTCAAAGCCCATGGGCCAAATGTGGCCCACCACAGTATTTTATGTTGTCCACAAGAGCTTTAAAAATATACTAATGTCTTTAAAGTAAGCTGCTTAAAGCCAGCATTGACCATGCACTACATCATCCATAATGCATGTAGATTATGTTAATTGCAAAATGACAGCCTCCCACTATCAGGTGGGCGTGCACAGGTTTTGAAAGTAGCTGGCAGCCAGTGTAATTCAGTGTAAAATCTTCATTTTGCTGCATTTTCATCGGCTACAATTTTTGCTGCAGCCCGGTTGTACTGGGGAGTGGGAATTTCTTACACACAAGTTGTAAATTTAAACTGGCACACCCGTCCAGTGGGAATTCCCCGTGGGAAAGTGAGAGAGTTCAGAATTCAAGACAGCAGCTAACTTATCACAACTTAACCATGAGTGAAACTCCTATACTTTTACTTTTTATAGTATGACTGTATTATTTACTTACAATTTACAATAACATAACTTTTTTATTGTGTATAGAATTTTGTTTTTTGACAAATTAATAAAGTTTGAAATAAAAAATAAAATTTCAGTCGTGTACATATTTTTCAGTGTTTATAAGAGGACATGTTAAAACAATGGGCCTCATGCAGCATGTTCGTATTCTTATCCTAAATTTCTCTTACTTTTGTTCGTACAAAGGGTTCGTACGAACATGTCACGTCAGATTCAACAAACTCTTCTAT